GCCTGCCTCTGCCTCCCGAGTGCTGGGATTAAAGGCGTGCGCCACCACCGCCCGGCTCCAGCTCCTTCTTTTTATTTTTGAAATGTTTGGGGATTTTTGAGTCAGGGGTTTGCAGCATAGCTCAAACTGGCCTTGAACCCAGGACTCCCCATTGCAAGCACTCTAATTACAGGCAAGGCCCTGCACCTGGTAAGAGAGTTATTCTAAAGAATCAATTCACACAGGGATGCGGAGGCAGGTGAGTGGGCAAGAGCACTGGCTACATAAACATGCAGACCTGAATTCGAACCCCCTCCCCCCCCCAGCACTTATGTATAAAGCCAGATACGGCAGCTGCACACTCATCTGTAACCACAAGGCCGTAAGTGCATAGACTGGGAATTGGTAGGGTTTGCTAGCTGCCAGCCTAATTCCAAGTTTAGAGAGAGACTCTGTCTCAAGGGAATACAGTGGAGAGTGATAGAACAAGACACTTGGCATCGTCTTCTGTCCTCCATGTGTGCACGTTTACAATTAATACTAGTGGAATCTAAAAATAATAATAAATGAATAAATTTATATGCCTCCACAGAAGTTTCTATGTTTGACCAAATAATTGGACATTCTATCCTAGCCAAAATGACATAAAATTAATCATCATAGCCACTTTTCTGGGTGTCTTAGTTAGGGTTTCAATTGCTATGAAGAGACACCATGATCATGACAACTTTTTTTTAACTTTCTTTTTATTTATTCTTTGTGTCTTTCACATCATGCATCTCCGTCCCATTCATTTCCCATCCCTGTGCATCCTTCCTCTGCCCTTGCAGCCTTTCCCCCAATAAAACTTAAAAGAAAAAAGAAGGGGGAAAAATCTTCATGGAAGCTGTAGTGTGACACAGTGAGTCACACAGTAACCCCTTTGTCCACATTTCCTTACTTGCAAGTGTTCATTGCAGAGAATCATCGGTCTGGTTCGAGGCCTCTGGTTTCTGCTACTCTATCTATGTTGGACCCTCACTGCAATGCCTCTTGGTTTTCCTGCTGTTGCCCTGTGTTGTGGAAATCCTGCAGCTTTGGGTCCGCAGGACCAGTACCTTCACCTGTTCCAGCAGATCACAGATGGGGTGGGTGTTGGGGTGGGCCAACCCATAACCTTGGTTCTGGGCCTGGGTAGTTGCAGGGTTGGTCAGCCCCCTAGCTCTCCCTTGTCCTCACCACCAGGATGAGCTCTCCCGCATTGCCTTAGTGAGTTCACCCTTTGCAGTGATAAGCAAGGGGCAGGGCCAGCTCTCCTGTCCTCAGGGTCAGATCTCCCACGCTTACACCTTCAGGGCCAGCTCTATTGTGTTGCCCAGGCGTGGGCGTAGGAGGGATCACTCTCCTGAGTGCTGCAGCGGATGGGGGCAGGGCTGGCTCTCCTGCTGCTCTCATGACCTCAGAGCCAGCTCTCCCTACCTGCCTCAGGTGTTGATGGGGGAGGGGGTTGAAACATGACATCTCTCTCACACCCATGCCTGCACATGACAGGTGAGTAATGGCGACAGCTCTTCCATGCTCACAATATCAGGGCTGGCTCGCCCACACCTCTGCCAGAGGAGTTGGCCTCTAGTGTGCTGCTCATGAGAGATGCAGGGCCTGCCCTCCCAAGTGTTGCAGCTGGTGGATGGCAGGGGCAGCTCTTCCAGCCTTCTGACCTTGGCCAGTTCTCTCACCTGCCTCACGCATTGATGGGAGAGAGGGGTAGAGGGCATCTCTCCCCCGCCCATGGACCACAGCAACTCTTATAAGGAAAACATTGAACTGGGGTGACTTGCTTTCTTACAGTTTCGGAGATTCAGTCCATTATCATCATAGGGGGCGGGGCATGGTTGCAACATGCAGGCAGACTGGTGCTGGCTACATCCTGATCAGAAGGCAACAGGAAGTGGTCGCAGTGTCAAGCTGAGGAAGCTTGAGCAAAAGAGACCTCAAAGACCACCCCCACAGTGATAGACTTCTCCAACAAAGCCACACCTCCTAATAGTGCCACTGCCTTTGGGGGCCATTTTCTTTCAAGCCACCCCACCGGTTTGTTTTTATTTTTATTTTCTTTTTCTCCTGCCCTCCCGGTATTATGATCCCACGCTCAGTTCTGACACTTTCACGTTGCAAATCCGCAGAATACCTGGCTCAATAGATTTACTGTAAAGGGATCCTATTGGTTAGCATAGCTAAAAAGTCCACGCATGTTTAGGCTTTGGGTCTCACTTGTTTTAGGTTTCTTGTCGCTCTCCCTGTGAGCTGAGGGCGTGAACGGACCGAAGGAAGGAGTTCACCCAAGTCAAACTTGGGGAACCAGTGAGTGACTTCAGTCAGGGTCATGGGTGACTCTTGGGCAGCTGCACCACTGAAGAGTCCCCATCCTGAGTCAACCCTTCCATCTCCTATATAATCTGGCACAACCCTCTCCCCCACCCTCACCCCCACCCCCAAACAACAAACAAACAAACAAACAAACAAACAAACAAACAACCACACACAGCTCCCGCAGAGGGAGCAGTGACTGAAATGAGACAAGCGTCTTAGTGAGACCTGCTTCTCCAGAGAATATTAACACCACATTACCACAGACCCAGCCAGCACCGTATTGTTCTGTATTTCATTGCCATGATTGGGACCCAAGTTTTTCTGAAGGTCACCATGGCAACTGGGCTTAATGGTGGTGATGGTCATGTCACATAAGGAGAGAATGAACACTCTGCACCTGTGGTGCTTGTTTTCCGGAACATCCTTTCAGAATGGGGCAAGAGGGCTCTTATTTTTGATTGGCTAGGTCCTGATATTCTTCCCCGTGGCCAAGAGGATACTCTGCTCTGATTGGCTTGAGTATGCCCACGCTCTAAGAACCCCAGAACACGGAGATGGGACCGCCCTGACCCGCCTCTAGCTAAAGGTCTATGCTGGGACACAGGAGCGTCTTTCCTGCTGGAATCAGCAGCTGGTGAAGCTGAAGGGTGGACCGGCAGGCAGGAGGATAACTGTGGCGCTTAGTCAAACGCTGAAGCAGAGATGCTGCATTGGCCGACGTCAAGGGATCAAGGATGCCAGTGGGAGCTACTGGAAGCGTGAGCGTGACTCATAAAGAGCTGACGAGGGTGGCTTGGCAGGGACAAAGAATGAAGGAGGGATGTGCCACAAGGACATGTTGGGGCAGCCCAGAGAAGAAGGCTGCCTCCGAGATTCTAATCTATAATTTGTTTGTGTTTAAAAAAAAAAAAAACCAACAGTGGAGGTGACAGGATTCATATCTCAGCAAGCTGGTGATTGCTCCTCGGCCCCTCCCTGTCTACACATCTTCCTCTTTCCTGCCCTGTCAGGGTAGTCTCTGGCACACATCTGCCGCAGAGATGCCAGGGGAGGGAGGTTGGGCACCTTCACCGGAAAGGAGGTGACTCCTTGTACACACATTTCTCTCACACAAGGCACACCTGTTGGCGTGGTGGCCCGGTGTGGAGTGCACGCTTGCCCGCCAGCGTGAAGCCCACCCATTCGTTGGAATGTTTGAGAGTGGTTTATTTTTGGTCCTTCATCTCATGCATAGAGAAAGAAATGTTAGTGAGGACATGCCATGAGGTGGATGCTCTAAGGCTCTGGCCCTTTGGCCTACGGACAGGCCTGCCCCCATTCTTCCTTTGGGGCTCAGTAACCTGGGAGTCACAGGGGTCACCTGTTAGCATCATTCTCCGAGTGCCGCTGTCAGGAAAACAACATAGAGAAGTCAGCATGACTGGCCTGGGATCCCTAGATGGGGAAAGGATTTACACTCACAGCAATGGTATTTCTGGCCCATTGATTAGGCAATTTTGCTTTTATGAATCAATTATGGTGATGACTGTGCTGGGTAAGATGTGGAATTGTTCTCATAGAGAACCAAGGATTGTGAGCTTTAAAACGGGTGCTACCTAAGCACAGATCTAAGTATCCAGTGGAGCACGTCTACCTCCTTTCCCTGGCTTGCATTTGGGTTCCTTTTACCCTCCCTCCCTCCCTCCCTCCCTCCTTCCCTCCCTCCCTTCCTCCCTCCCTCTCTCCCTCATCTTTATCAGCTCTGTGTGCATGTGTGTGGAGGCCAGAAATGGTCATTGGATAGCTTCCTTTATCAGTCTCCATTTTAATTTTTAAGACAATCTCTCACTGACTCACCAGTCAGTGAGCTCCCAGGATCCTCCTGTCTGCGTCCCTGCCCCTGTACTGAGAGCACAAGCGTGCACCCCCATGCCTAGCTTTTTCATGTGGGTTCCGGGGATCCAAATCCAGGTTCTCTTGCTTTAGTGACCGAGTCATCTTCCCATTCCTGCATTTAGATTTCCTCAGAGGTTCCCCAGTCCCACTGAGCAAGCAGCAGAGTGATTCCACCATACACAGTGTCCAGTCATGTGACAGTACTGCTCACTTTCCATTAGCAGCCCCGTGAACAGCTGTAGGCTGGAGTTCCAAGTCTACGCAGTGCGCTAACAGGCACACCACACGGTGTTCTCTGAGGAAGCCACCAGTGGCCACACACCTGGACTCTGAAGCTGCCCGTCCAGAAGATAAGGAGAGTTTCACAAGTGTGTGCAGACACTTCTGAGATCCTCATAATAAATGGAGCCGTGATCTCATCTCTCATATATGTGTTGATATTTCTTCTTAGAGCAGGCAGAGGTCATTTCATAAATTACACATCTCGCTGATTGTGCTCCATGGATTGCCTCCTGCTATATAGCAGATATGGTAATTCCAATAATTGCAATTAATCATCATGGGGCTTTCATTCTGAAAGCCAAATAATAAGTTTGAAGGGGATCTGAAGAGTCTGGATGAGACGCCATGGAGACAAAAGAGGAAGGAAAAACTGCCCTGGGACAGACACACTGCAGGAAGTAGGGAACATGGACAGGCTGAGGAAGCAGGGGGCTGGGGCAATAACTCAGTAGGGCCGGTGGGGACCCAAGCTGGGAGCCCAGTCACTGACATAAGAGCCAGTCCCTGTGGCCCCTGTCTCTAACTCCGGTTCTCATGTGGGGTTGGAGACAGGGAGATCCCAGGGGCTTTCTGGTCAGTCAGTCTAGTCCATCAGTGAGCTCCAGGTTCTGTGAGAGACCCTTCCTCAAAAAATAAGGTGGAGAGCAATAGAAGAAGGCATCCATGTCAACTTCTGGCCTCCATGTTCACGTGCCCAAGCCCTTGTTCTCATACTCACAAGAGTGAAAGGGCAGGTGTTTGATGCAAATACGATGGGAGTTTAAGGATGCTAGACACCAGATGTTTCAAGAACTAATTCATTTAACAAGCATTTGTCATATGCATTCTATAGGTGAGACGGTGGGGATTTCAGCTTTGAGTTTTTAAGACCCCGCAGTCCTGTAGCCTGATGGAGAGATTAGCTGGGCAGGAAGGAAGGAAGGATGGAAGAGAGGGAGGGAGGGAGGGAGGGAGGGAGGAAGGAAGGAAGGAAGGAAGGAAGGAAGGAAGGAAGGAAGGAAGG